AATTAAAATAGTATAATATTAATTTTTATTTTTATCAAAATTTAATTATTTTGGTTAAAATTCGATATATCGATCGAAATTTCGATGAATTGATCAGTTCACCGAAATTTTGATCGATACACACTGTAAATAAAAAAAAAAATTTCCTAACCTTTGAGCTAAGGACTTCTTAATAAGAAGTTGTCCGTATAACTCAATTTAAATTTAAAAAGGGTAAAATTTCATTTTTGGCCTCAACTTTAATGTTATATATAATTTTTATTTTGGTTAAATATCCTTTTTGTCCTTCTACTATAAGAAAAAGCTCATTTTTAGTTCTTGTACCGAAAAAATTTTCTTTTTGATCTTTACTGTTCACAAATTTGACCCCTTTTTAGTCATTCCGTTAATTTTTGGCTGACGTGGCAAGATAATTAATGAAAAATTTTATTTTTTGCTTTACTTAAATTACAGTGAAATCCATCTGACAAAACTCGATGACATGGGCAAATTTTTTATTTTTAATTACCAAAGTACCCTCATTTTCTTCCCCCATCCTCTCATTCCTTTGGCCTTTTTTTTCTTACATTTAGTTGAACCCAGGAGCTTGGGTTCGTCAAGATGAACCCTGCTCGTGGGTTCGTTGCGAACCCAGGAGCTTAGGTTCGTCGTGATGAACCCTGCTCGTGGGTTCGCAACGAACCCAAGAGCGTGGATTCACGACGAACCCAAGAGTGTGGATTCGCGACGAACCCAGCTCTTAGGTTCATCGTGAACCCAGCTCTTAGGTTCGTCGTGAACCGAGTCGCCTAGGTTCGTCATGAACCCAGGCTCTTGGGTTCGATACATGGTCTTCTTGTGGTAATTTGCGGCACTTCAAGCACGGAAAAATGTTAGTTGGTAAGATAGGATTGATTTGGTTAAATGATTCTGTGATCAATTGTTGGGTTAATTAACTGTTTTTAACAGGTACTTCCAAGAAGGAAGTTGAATAGGGTTTGTTGGTTCATGAGATGAGTTTTAGTCCTTTTGGTTGAACAAATGCATTACTTGTGGGTACGCAATGAACCCAGCTTCTGGGATCATGATGAACCCAGCTCCTGGGTTCGTTGCGAACCCACTAGCTAGGTTCATCGCGACGAACCCAATCTTTCTAATGGCTCAGAACATTCTAGCTTTGCTGATAGATTTATGGTGTTGCTTGCAATAACATTTTTTAGGACACCTGGAAAGATTGGAACAGTTTACCTTTAGGCACCTGGGTTCTTTTCTTTTCTTTACCTTCAGGCAAACCCAGGAGTTGGGTTCGTCCTGAACCCAGGCATTTGGGTTCATCGCAAACCGGCGAGCTGGGTTCCTCACGAACCCAGGCTCTTGGGTTAGCCTGGAGGTAAAAGGAAAAAAAGAATACAAAAAAAAAAGGCCGGAGGACGTGGAGGGTGACGTGGCGGGTGTCATAAGTCCACGTAAACATTTTTTATTCGTTGGCATATCAACATCAACTATTTCAGTTAAGTTAACGTGCCACGTAAACAAAAATTAACGAAAGGAAAAAAAAGGCGGATTTGTGAACAGTAAGGATCAAAAAGAAAATTTTTTCGGTATATGGACTAAAAAGGGTATTTAACCTTTTCATTTTTTAACTTTTTTTATGTACTTTTTAGTACATTTTTCATTTTTTTAGTCTTTTTATTAATTATTTTGTTAAATTTATCTAAATATACACATTTTTAGTCCCTTAATTTAAAG